GTTACATAACACTCCCAAACCATCTACTAAAAACATAAATTCATTGTTTATCATGTATAATATCGAATCAACATTCTGTACAATTAATCTATTGATCAAAATGCCAGTGAAACATGAAAGATTGTGAAAAGAGTAGGACATTTCTATTTTCTCTTTTGAAGGTGACGGGTCTGCAGCTCTACCTCCAGCATGGGTGTTGGGAAATCCATTTACTTCCATTTGGCACCACATTCATCTTAATCACCATTGGAATAAAAGGTAGCCACTGGGCACTGGCTTTGGGATTGGAATGGATCCTGTCAACAAAGAGGTTTTGGGGGAAGAGACGCAACTTGGGTCTCATTTTACTTGATTGGCTGTTTGTTTTTTGGGTTTTTTTGTGGAAATTCTGTTAGTTCTGCTCAAAAATGTGCAGAAGAGCATTACAGAAGTGGTGTGAAATGATTGCAGAACTAAACAGGGAATCTTTGTATTATCTCATCATGCTTATCTTGCAGAAAAAAAGAGGAAGCCTCCATCCTTCCTTTCTCCCGAATTTAGAAATCAGCTGTGAAAGAGGCCCTGTTGGGCCCTGAAAGTACTTTGTTAATAGGCTGTGTGTCGAAAGTGACTGTTGTTGTACACTTTAAAACTCCAATGCATGGCCATTATGTCTGAAAATGTACTTGTACTTATTCATCTTACATGGTTTCCAGTGTAGCTGTTTCACCTCTCATTATAAAGATTTTATCATGATGGTGCGAGACATCACGACTTTTCATCAGGCCTTTCATCATCTCTATTTTACGATATTGAAGATTCTCAATACATTGACATTGCAAGCTGTTGTGCCAAACACAAATTTCAATTTGAGATGAATGCCCAGAATTGAATGCTTGTGTTCAAGTAAGCATCCCATCCCAAGAGCTAGAGATTACTGGCCTGTTGTTTGCAACAGAAAGGACAAGATCGGTACTTGTACACCTGAGGGCACAGGACAAATGGCCAGGGCTTATTGAGATGTAATATGTGCTAAGAAAGACGAAGACCACAGAAGAGGAGGGAGCCTGCAGGTAAAAGTGATAGGTGGAGGGATTAGCTCAAGTGATTGACGACATTAGGTAGCCATTAGCTGTGCACTAGCATCTTAGCATCACAAAACTGCGACGAGTACAATGATTTATTTAACTATTTATTGCAGGCTGCTGTAGTAACACGACAAATGCCGTATTTTCTGAAAGATGCATATCTACAAAGCCATCCAATAAATGTCCCTTTGCACCGTGTCTATTATAGTGGACAGATCTTTAAGTAATTTCTTACCTTTTAGGGCGTGATGTTACATCTAAACCACCATGGATGATTACCATTGACCTTTACTGACAATTCTATATAAATGGTACCTGGTATTATTCAAATCAAAAAGCTTATTTAATATAACTGAAACAGCCTAACTACAATAGGTTAATTGTCATTTAAAGCATGTGCTTTCTACCTATTATTCAAATCAAAAAGCTAATTTAATATAACTGAAACAGCCTAACTACAATAGGTTAATTTTACATTAGAAAATCTTTAACAATTGTCACTGTTGTTACAGATGCACAAACTACCTCTCAGATCTACATAATCTTTTGTTGCAACGGACAGATGTTTAACTCCCTCAATTAGCTTGGGAATGAGATTTTATTCTTGTTTTGAATTTGACATGTTTTATTTATTTATGATTTAATAATTAATGCATCCAAGGGCTATATTGTTTCAGGGCACAACTGCAAATTGCATTTATGTGCATTGTACAGTCTTTGTGCCCTTGTCATTGACATGGTGGATGACAAACTGAAGATATAAATTCACAGGTAAAGATATAAATAATCCAAAGTTGGGGGAGGAGATGGACGCTTATTGGCAATAGACCGACACCCTGTTCCTGAATCCTTGAAAAAAGATAGTCCTTTGTCGGGCTACTTTTGTTTCTTAATCTCGTGCTCACCAGGAGTCGTTTGCCTTTAGGTAGCCAGAGATAGTTATTTATAGTGCCCTCATCCCTACATTCATACCCAGGCATCCACATTCACCTTAAACCTCCCTGATGGTTAATGCGCTTAAGACTCCACCTGAACATTACCTTTTCTCTTGTTATGTTTTTAAATCCTTTAACAGTTGTTTTTTAGGCAGATCTTTGGATGTAGATTACAGCTGTACCTCATATATATATATATATATATATATATATATATGTGTGTGTGTGTGTGTATGTATGCATTTATGTGTGTGTGTGTGTGTGTGTGTGTGTGTGTGTGTGTGTATGTATATATATATATATATATATACCCTTTAGAACCCTTTTAAAGGGTACCGACCCAGTTCCAGCTTTTGTGCCTTTTTTTCTGAGAGTGTACATATATATAGGCTATACCATAAAAAGGGAGAACATTACTTTGCACTATTTTAACATGTCTAATACTGCAATGAGTAAAAGGCCAAAAGTATTTTCCCCTTTACTAAAACAAATGAATTTTCATTAGGCTACTTTTCCCGTCATTCATGATTCAGTTTGAACATAACTAAAACACTTCTTTTTTTTCAGGCCTGGAATATTTCCAGGTTTCCCATGACTGTGGGGAAACCTGCTAAAATTAAAAATTTTAGTATAGGCTATAGCTTGCATTCAATGTGGGAGTTTAACATGTTGGTCAGTAAAACATTCTTAAGCTCATATATATACTCGAGAATTAGACGAATCTAATTTTCGGTGTATGAATGAGTGTGTGAATGGGTGAATGTGAGGCAAATGTAAAGCGCTTTGGTGGCCATTGGGTCTGTGAAAGCGCTATATAAATGCAGTCCATTTACCATTTACCATTTCTCCGAACCTATATGCTAGCATTTGTTGTCTATAAGGCGGAAGAAGAAGGAAATACGGTGTTAATGCTGTCAGGTTACAAAATAACCTATAGGCTATATTGTGATAATTTCAGTCACTTGCAATACCTTGCACACTCCATCAATAATCCTTAATAAACATTCAGAAACGTGAGACTAACTTGTACTCTAGTCTTAAGAGTGAAACCGAACTTCACGCGTCGGCTACATGCACTGTGAGTGTGTGCAGATAAAAGAGAGCGAGTTGCAACTTCCTATTGGTTTTGCCGTGTTTACGGTAGTAGAGGTGCACGTCAAAAATCACATGGTCGGTCATTCATTGTTAGCAACACTTCTGTAGCCCAGCAAATCTTTCTGTCGTGTTGAAGTAATTATTCACAATAGTTTGGGTTCAAAACTTTCCTGAAACAACGTTGCTATTGATAGGTGGATCTCAGACATTTTGTCAGGAAAAAAAAATCAAAACAACTTATTCTTTTGACAAGACATTATTTTGAGATAGGCTAACAAGATTTTCATTTTATTATTAGTAGGCCTACTATACATATAACAAATTCGTGTTTTTCTTGAAAGATTATTCAATGTTCAACATAAGCTCACAATTTGACATAGGCTATAGCATAGTCTATAATTATGTAAAAGCATATGTTACTTTTACCTCTAAATGTAAAATATATTTTATATAGGCCTTTAATACGGTATGTAGACTATCTAGATTTATTTTCTCTCGAATGAATGTTCTGATATAGACGCTTAACATAATCTAATAATATAGTAGGCCTAGCTTAATAATGTTCTAAGTAGCAATTGATATCAAAATGGACTACGGTTTACTAGGCAATACAATAGGTATACATTAAGGGTGTCGTTGATATCTAACACAACAATTAAAGAAAACAAACAGTGCAATGTGAAAAGGTTATTTCTAGGTTCTCTCTTCAACTTCACTCTCGTCAAGTTTTTGGCACAACCAAACTACATGTTTTACGGTACTGAAAGTGGAATGTGTGGAATTTGTAAAGCTCCAATTCATCCTGAAGCGACAGCAGTGAGGCAGTGAGCTCTTTAAAGTGAGAGCGCCCCTATTTGATCAAACTCTATCAAACAATTTGTGTTGTTAACGCTTTGTGTGTGTTTAAACTCCACTGACAAGCCATAAGCTACTCTTTAAAAGAAGTAACGATGTTTATTTAGGATTCTAAAAGGTACAAATTAATGACGTTCTTTTACTGTATATTCTGAAATATGTAATGTACCTACTTTCTATTGAAACTTTAGAAATTACATTTCGTTATTAAGTTTCTTGTTGTTAAGGCTTCTCGGGAGATTTTTTAAGAATAATAGCCTATATTTTATCCATTTGCAAGAGGAGATTCAGATGAGAGCTGGGGCTGCAGTTCTGCCTGGCAACTGGTGTCCTCTCCATTGGCTTAGGCTAATTTGTGCTTCCTTCTTTTAGGGGAACCCAGAAGTGTTTACTTTTTTTCTTTTCTTTTTTTACAGACCACACATTTGTCTCATATGAACGGAAAACACATTCAAGTGTATGCATATAAAAAATTGCAAAGCTCGCATAAAGTTAGCCTGTTGTGCCACCAAACTTATAAAAACTAGCCTATATAAAAAGGTGTCACGGCAGAATACGATTAAAAAAAACTTGCTGCCTTAAATTTTTAAGTACAATCAACTTGGATGTTTAAGTTATTTCAACTTAAATTAGCTACATTAAACTTACTTTAAAAATGAATTGAATCTTGTATAACATAAAAAACAGTTGAAAATTGCTTGACTTAATTTGATGAGTTAAAGCAATGTATAAACATATGTTGTCATAACTTATTGATCATATGAAATAGGCTATATACAGCATAGACTTTGAAGATGAGATGAAACTTTGGGTCCTGGTCGCAACACTATAAGAGAAGGGCAGCTGAGTTTCAGTGCACGGGTATTGATTTGGGCTACTATACCGCCCCCTACCAATGTTTAAGCAATACACATACTCGGACCCTTTTACCCCGTCTTTCCACCCCCGATATACCCAGCCTGCCCCCTGCACCCCCCGCCGATTCTCCTTGGTCGCTCACTCGTCACCCGGCATAGGACCTCCTATTTCCATAGTGCTAAAGGAAGGAGCCCAAACTCCAGAGAAGATAGTTCTTTAAGACTGATCTTCCGCCCTGAGCAGACAAGCCTCTCGCGCGCTCTCACAGGCTCGCGGCTGCTTTGATCTTCCCTTAACAACAGTCACGTCATAGGGGAGTTTTGTCAAGCGAGACTTTTAGAGGGTTCAGCAGAGGCAGCAAAGCATCCACGGGACCAGTGTCCGAAACGAGATCCAGTTTTACTTCCCTTTGTCACCGCTGCAACACTGAAGACATGGAACACCAATTGTTTTGCTGTGAAGTGGATACCATTAGAAGAGCTTACCAAGATAGCAACCTGTTGAATGACCGAGTTTTACAGACAATGCTCAAAGCAGAGGAAAACTATCTTCCATCGCCAAATTATTTCAAGTGTGTTCAGAAAGAAATTGTCCCTAAAATGAGGAAAATCGTCGCCACATGGATGCTCGAGGTTTGTTTTGGCTAATAGTTGTATTTTTGTATTAGTTGCACAAGTTTGCCTCATGATGATTCTGCTCTTGCTCTTTGGACCCCGAGAACTGTTTAATACATGTAAATATGTTTTTAATGTAACCTGAGTTATCCATCCCAGACCTTTCACACTCTGTTCTAATCTGTATTGCTCATTTTTGTGCAAAATGTTTGATTATTACAAAACTAATATTAATCTTAGCCACGAGACGTTTTCTTTGCTTTCCGATATCGCATTTTTATTTAAACCGTTATTTCCCCCATTCGTCTGTTTCGTTTCCTATAATCTAAAGGAAATATAAATAAATTTAGTTTTTATTTCAATTTAATACCAATGTACACGTATGCATTCTCACTCGTGCCAGTAGCCATCTTTGTTGTCGTTTGCTTAAGTTTTTTATATCTCTAAATTCTAAAAATGAAATATTATTGACATCACTTGCGTAAAAACGCTCACTAGTTGTCCTTTAAATCGCAGGTATAATTTAAACCTAATTTTTGCAAGAAAACGTAGATTTTGTGTCTTAAAAGTTTTGTTTCAGTTTGCCATACCTCCCGCACGACGGTCTAAAAATATTATATTTTTTACATTTCTAACTTCAACATCGTGTTATAAACGGTCGGATTATAAAACCCATCGCTTAATTTGGATTTACAAATGTTTAACATTCGATTTAATGCTTTGGAATAATTTATATTAATTTTTGAAACACCCGCTTCTCTGAAATGTCGCCTGCTCCCCTTTGTATGTTGAGGCTTTAGAATTCAATTCATTTCATGTCGTTTTTGCCATTGAATTCGAACGATTTTGCTCTTATTCAATAAAGCATACGTTGCACAACATTTACATGTGTTTTAATTCGAGCGAAACAATTTTCTTATATTTTTAAATATTTTTTGAAAAGATGACGAACTAGAAAATTGTTTCCTGAACCTAGCTTGGACGCCACCTTTTTGCCTCGGAAAGCAACGACCACTAGCATCAGCAGCAAATTGCAATATTTATACTCTGTGCAACACTTTAGATTCGTATTAACTAACCGATTAAATACTCTTTTTTAGCATTCGCACGTGTCTCTTTTGTCATTTAACCCTTTCCGTTGCACGTGCACGACTAAGCAGATGCTAAACACGTGGGATAACTCGATAAGATCAAAGCATAGCTAAAAGAAAATCCTTTCACTTCGTTTATTTAATTCATGTTTACCAATATACGTTTCTCTTTCGATTCTCTTTAAGTGAAAAAAAAAGAAACCTAGCCAATTTTAGCTGATCTTTATTTTACATTATGTGCTTTCTTTTCTTTAAAGGTTTGTGAAGAACAGAAATGCGAAGAGGAAGTTTTTCCATTGGCCATGAACTACCTGGACAGATTTTTATCTGTGGAGCCCACCAAAAAGACCAGATTGCAGCTTTTAGGAGCAACTTGTATGTTTTTGGCCTCTAAAATGAAAGAGACTGTGCCACTAACAGCAGAGAAGTTGTGCATATACACGGACAACTCCGTCCGTCCCGGCGAATTATTGGTAATTATTCAACATTGCATAATTATATGCAGCTTGATATTGTTTTCTCATATCACTGTACTAAAGTCAATTTAAAGCATGCAAGTAATGCAATTTTGCTCAAAGAGATGCACGTGAAAGCCTTGCATTAAAAACCTCAACCAGCTAATTTGGTTGGTCTGCAACTGTAAAGTGCATTTGCATAAATAACAGCGCACATGCTACAAACTGTGTGCGTTAATTGATTGTAGGCCCTGCAAGTGACTGTGCAACTAATCGACATCTCCATCTAGTGGTCAAAGAGAATATGGAAAATCGTCTGAGCCTTAATGTAAACTTGGGCCTTTTTATATCTCCCTCGCAGCAAATGGAACTGCTGGCACTAAATAAACTGAAGTGGGATCTAGCCTCAGTGACACCGCACGATTTCATCGAACACTTCCTCGCCAAACTGCCCATACATCAGAATTCCAAGCAGATTCTGCGCAAGCATGCCCAGACATTTGTGGCCCTCTGTGCAACAGGTATGTTTCACCATTTGTGTTCATTATCACTTTGTTATATGTGAATATATGACAGTGAATTTGCCTTTTAATAGCTGACCAAGCACATGTTTCGAGTACTTGACTGTGAACGTGCATTGACGAACTTCCCCCCGTTTGCTTTGCTATCAGACGAACTTCTTTATTGCAATGGAAAGAACCATCTCGCTTGTCCTAATTCCTCACTCGCAGTTATTGTAAACCAATGTGAGCCTCTGCAAGAGAGAGGAAGTCTGTTTCCTTTTGTGGTGATTGCTGTGACTGCACTGCAGCTCCTGTGAAGCCCTGCCCGCTTCACGACACCACTGCTAGTGCATGTGAACCAAAAAGAGGAAACTCTTTTCTGACATTTTTCTCGTGAAAAGGGCTTTGTAACCTGATATTTTCCCATGTCTAGACATCTTGATGTCCAGGTCTCTTTGAGTGAGAGCATTTCACTTTCTTACCCTTGCACCTCATTGTCAAGCAACCTACAGCAGTCAGTTTATCACCTGCCAGGAAGGATTTACTCCAGTATACTTTTTGTCCCTCCAGTATACATGGTGGGTATCACCGCAGCTCGCTCCCCTTTTATGTTTATGACCTGCATTTCTTTGGGAAGTAGCCTGGGATCTCAGCCAGGGAGAGTGCGGTTGGACGGATACTGGGAAGGGGGTGGGCGCTGGTGAATGAAATGAATGGGCCGGGGTGAAGGCTCCCGTGCCTTTATGCTCAATTTGTCTTGACAATTGCCCTCTCGTCTCTGAGCTAGCAATGCTAGACGACTTCCTATGAGAAAGTCAGCTGTAATTCTCTACTCACCATGTGTGGGCAGTGCGAGTATAAGGCTTTGGATTCAGAAGCTCAGCTTGTTGTCCGTTCAAGGTATGAGGCATTTTGAGGAAGTTGTGGTGTTGGGCGTGTGTCTTCAAAAGTAGGAGTCAGAAACATCTTGAAAACCCCAAGATTTCAATGCTCTTTTAGCATTAACGTGCACATAGAGGCATGATTTATGGGACCTTTTGGGAATGAGAGGGGACCTACAGCAAAGTCTTCTGCCTCCCCCCGAAGGCTTTGAGTCCTGCCGAGGAATAGTGTTGGGCCCCAAATGTCACGGACTGTCCCCTACCAACCCAGCTCTCATTATAGTTTAGTCATGCTATGCTTCATTATGAGCTCAATCCCCTACCAAGCCTCTCTATTCCTCGTTTTATTCCTCATCCAGTTACTTATTGGTGGCTATTTTGAACATTTGTTAACCAGGTCTGTTTGTTGTTTTCAGATGTCAACTTCATCGCGAGCCCTCCCTCCATGATCGCGGCCGGCAGCGTTGCCGCAGCGGTGCAGGGCTTGTACCTGAAAAGCCCCGATAGTTGCCTCTCGTCCCAGAACCTCACCAACTTCCTCTCGCAAGTCATCAGAAGCGATCCTGTAAGTGTGCCACCTTCCGGGTATTATTTCAGAGGTTGCACTTCATTTTGCAGTCCTGTTTCCCATATGTACTTATTATAATTGCAAACTAGGAACTAACCCTGAAACTACACCTAAACCGAACCTTAACCCATGTACTGTTGTCAACATTTGAAGTGGATCAAAGTTGTCCTAAGACAAGAACGGGTATTGTTCAAAATGAATGTATAACTTTGATGAAAGGTTTTGATCCACTTCAAATGTTGACTTCTGTAGTTACCAAGTACCTTAAGTACAGTGTAAGTAAAAGTGCATGTCCGGTAAAATAAAGTGCAACCATTTCAGAAGACCCGATATGTCGCTTTGTTGCTAACTTCCTTGTTTGCCCCCCCAAAGGACTGCCTGCGATCGTGTCAGGAACAGATCGAGTCCCTGCTGGAATCTAGTCTCAGACAAGCTCAGCAGCACAACATCTCCACAGAGACCAAAAGAGTGGAGGAGGACGTGGACCTCTCTTGCACCCCCACAGATGTCAGAGACATTAATATCTGAACGGATCGCTATTCATCTCGTCTTTGCGATGAGTCTCTTCATCTTTGCTTCTGTTGGGTATGGGCTTTGGCCAAAGGCTTCATGAGACAAGAGGGAAAACGGGCTCCCACCTGCACCCCACCATCCGACCAATACCTCGACAACTTGCCCCTCAGCGCGCCCTAACTGTTGACCGCTGACCGGCATCCCCTGTGGTTTTGACGATTGGGCTATCGCTGGCACGGACCACCGGTGGAGGACAGGGAAATCTCTCCTTTGCCCCCCCCCCCCCCTCTATGTCCTAAGTCAAAAATAAAAAGAGCGAAAAATGGTATCTAGGATTTTAAAATTGTATAAACGACTACAGTAGTTGTGACTTGCCCTGGCTTGTCGTTAAAAAGACAACCTTGGGTATTTTAATTTCAAGCGTGTCAAAAACTATTTTTGTAAGAGAAGAGACATTATCTGTATGTTTGAGTTCTTTCTCTCATAGATAGTACCTTGTTACACTTGAGCGCTCCCTGCTTTTTCTGCAGTCTAGCCGTGTAAATATATCCCCGCTTGCTATGCGTTTAGTCACTTTATTATAATTCCTAGACCGACTCCCTAACAAGATTCTCTTCTCTTCCAAAATGGTTTATGTAACCGTAGTATATATTTTGTACGCATGTATTTTTTGTTATGATCTAGAAGGCTGTGGATTGCCAGGGGCTTTCGAGGCCAGATGGAACCATTTCTTTTCAAATCACTGCCTTGACTTCACTGCCATATTAATGTGTAACGTCATCACTGCCATGACACAATAAGCTTATGTCGTGCCTAAAGCTTGCATTGTGGTCCACAGTCTGCTTTTTGTTTAGATTCATGTATTATCTAAAACCATTCCATTTTAAAAAAGAAAAAAAAAAGCACTTTCAGTCCGTCGTTTAAGGCTGACTTTTAGAAAGAAAAAAGAAAGAAATCCACAGTTGTTAAAACAATGGAATGGAGCAAGGGTTGACGGAGCAGGTCTCTTTATCTAAGGTGTTAGTGGTCTGTTAGAGAAAGGAGAAGAGGGGGACATGGAGAAGATATTTGCTTCAATGCTGATGCCAGAACGGATGAATGCGAGGGAGCGTTTAAGGTGCGATCCCACAAAACGCATTTCGAAACACTACGATGTCAAATCAAAGATTAAGAACTATTTATTTCTTTCAGTTCCCCTCTTAAGGCCAGTATGCACGGATGCCCAAGTGTACCTAAGTTCGAAGTATGTATAATGACCCGCTAGTTGCTAACTCGTGACACCATAGTTGATGTACTCTGGTCTAGTAATTGTGGCTTCAAGTAGATTTTGCACAAACCCAGAGATGTCAGTTGTCTTGTGGATCTCTGGAAGGGGAGGAAGATGAGGAGGAGGAGAGATGTTAGAGATGGCAGAGTGAGGCAAAAAAGGGTGATGGCTGGACATCAAAGAGTAAAAGCAGAACTTTAAGAAAGGAATAAAAAAAAGAAGAGGAGAGCCTGGGAGAAGACACTCCTCATATTTAGCTGCTATGGAGGGATTTCCAGCAAGTATGAAACTTTCAAATGGAAAACAACAAAAAAAAAAGAAAAAGACATGCTTCTTTCTCTTGTCTTGTTTTGCTGCTATTTTTGGTTTTGTTTATATAAAATGTCAATACAATGCCATGTAATAGGTTTTAATTTTCTCATAGAAAATTATATTATTGACAACATTTTGGTAGTTTTTTTTTTTTTTTTTTTTTATGTGATCAATTTTTGTTAATGTGATTTCTACGCTATGCTATTCCCAAAACAAAGAAACAAACAAAAAAAACAGAAAAAAAAACAACAAAAAGCAGATGAAAAAAATAGTCAAATGTTCCTGTTATACCCACAATACCTCAAACTACAGTCGTGATTTAGCATTGATTTAGTCTGGGATTTTTTTTTGTTTTCTATTGTTATTTTATTTGATTGTTTTGCCTGTTAGTCCTGTTGTAAAATGTAAATGAACATGTTAATCATCATCCTACTGGGTCCTGATGCGAGCGATTAGAAAGCATATTGAATGGAATTGGTGCCATAAACTCTTTGGAGTTTTTTAGCTGTTTCATTAAAGGAGACTTGAGTCTCTTCTAGCCCATCTTGATGAGTTTATGAAGCTTTTATTTGAAAAAATGACACAGTGTGTGACTGCCATGTGTACTTACAAAGCCATAGTTTTGTCTTGTAGTAATTTAACAGTGCAGATGTTGATGTATAAGTGGCTGCCTGTCTTGTTCTGAATTCAGGAGACTTGGTATGTCCCCCATCAAGACGTTGTCTTAATAAATGTGACGCAGCTACAATCAGCAGTGATGTTTCCCTTCATCTTTTTTTTTTTTTTTTGCATAAACCCATCAAATTGGTATCCTTGTAAAGAGCCACACATTCAGTACTCATGGGATTCTTCACTCGGTTGTTTGTTGGTTGGTTAGTTTCATTCCCTTCAGCCTTTGACATGGTGCTGCTATATGTTTGTATTGAGTCTAGAAGTGATTTGCTGAAAGAGATGCGGTGGCGATAAGCTAGGAATGATGGGAGAGGTGATCCAGGACCCAGGGGACAGATATATTCTCCTCTGTAGTATCAGGAATCTTTTTTTTTTACCTCAAGGTGGAAATTCAACTGAATGATGAAAACTAGCATGTATATCGGTGCGATTCACAAACACACACCAAGAGACTGTCATGCAATCGAGGAAAGGAGACCGTGGAGGTCCCAAGCTTTTCTCTTGAATGTGTTTAGGGGGAATTGAGAAGTGATCGACTGCATCCTCCCATCCCCACATGATAAAAGCTTGGCATTGTGTCTCACACCTGTAGTCTTTTTAGTTCAATATGGTATTCATTCCCAAGGATCAAAATGTGGTGATCCTGAAATACAATGTTTGATTTTTGTTTTTATTGTTCACAAACCGGTCACTGGTCTGAAATGCACAATCTTGCTGACCCATCTTAGACATGAGGTTAACTAGAATAAAACTTGAGCTTCAAAAACCACTCGTCTTGCGTGATTTGTATTTGTGTTGTGCTCGCACAGCTTTTGATGCTAAACGTTAAAGGGATAGGAAATTCTGTCATTGTTTTCTCTCCCGCACATTTCCAACCTCTAAGAATTATGTTTTTGTGTCTATACAATGAAAGGCTTTCACTGTCTATCCCTTTAAGTCATGAAATCTTATTGTTTTATCTGGCTAATGATTTTGATAGTCGTGAATTGAATAAAAAATGTGTACAATTTTTTACTCTGATATATTTTGTTCTAATAAGCATGAAAAATTTCGGTAACTTTATTTCACAGTGTCCTTGTTACATATGTTACATGTACTTACCATAGTAACAACAGTAAATTATGCATAATTACATGCAACTAACCCTCAACCAAATCCTAACCCTATAGTAAGTACATGTTGTTAATTAATATTACTCAGTACTTAAATGTACAGCATAATTACATTGTAACAATGACACCTTCAAATAAAGTGTAACCAAAATGTCTTTCAACAAGCACCTTCTTAAGAAATGCTAAATATTAACCCATCATTAAAGTTTTGGCAAGGTTCTCCCAAGGTTATGAACAAACGTTCTTCCAGTACCGTTACACTCTAAACAATGCTGGGTTGTTTCAACCCAAATTTGGGTCAAATATGGACAAACCCAAATGTTGGGTTAAAAAAGGAATTTAAAATTTTAACCCAACTTCAACTTTCACTTTCAACTGTAATTTTTTAATTACATTTTTAACCCAACATTTAGGTTTGTCCATATTTGACCCAAATTTGGGTTGAAACAACCCAGCAATTTTTAGAGTGTAAGAAAATGTTCATTCAAAGTTGTCTGGTCTCAAAACGTTTGCACAAAAACATTATTTATACATCGTTCATGGAACATTTTTAAATGCGACTACTTGTTTAGAGAACATTTAAATGTAAAATTGCCATAATGTTTGCAAAATGGAAGGTCCCCTTAACATTGACATAACCAAGAAAAAAAATGGATGTTTTATCCACTCTGCGAACATTCAGAAATAACGTAATGGCAATATTAGCAAAACGTTCTTAGAACATATTTTTGTTTGCTGGGAATATGGCCCAATTTCTCTTAATTCATCCTTATGCCACATGAAAAACGAAATGCTTAAGATATTAAAAATATCAGCAATTGCAATAGTAAGAAAATGATTGTCAGGCCGTCAGCGTCTTTGAGTCAAACGCCTTCAAAGATGAGCAGCTGGGAACAGGATGCTCTTGATTTACTAAATATTAATTAACCAGGAAATTGAAGATATGTTTGATGTGCACAGCTCAAGCAGATTCAGAAATTAACAACATTTTAGAGGAAGTGAATGTTGAACCTTGCTGAGGCGAGAAAGGATTGGTCTGTTGAGTAAATAAACGCTGTTCTCTCATGTATCAAGCAGGTGATACCCTTCTTTTATTGTCAAAGTATTATCTGGCATCCCCGACAGACAGTCTTGATGTTGTGTTTTGAAACACACTGCAGACATCAGTGAGGAGACAGCAAGAAAGTAAGAACTCGGACTATTTCACGCACCTACGCTACTGACTGAGGTCTGAGATAATACTGTGTCTTTGCCTTTTGGCATCTCAGTGTCTGCGGTTTCAGATGAAGGAGCCACATTGCTCCCCTCATACACACCGTTCCAAAAGGCTAAAGTGCTACCTTTCGAAGGTTTGCCTTTCCAAGATCTGACATTGTGGCTGCATGCAAAAACTAAACTGTTCACTTGTGAAAAGTGCATATAGTCTCCCAGCCAAGTTTTTCATGGTGGGGCCAATGTACTCAGCTAACAAAAAACAAGTTCTATAGCCCAGGACAAAGAACTAGCGGCGACGAAAGCTGACCGTGTTGTCTCCTCTCGTCAGCTGCGTCTTGGCCAAAAAGCTGCGCTTGAACACACCAAAGGGTCTAAAGGCATGTGCTTGCTTGTAACTATATCAGCAGGTATCATCAATAGTCTATTTTCGTCATTCAAAAACAGAAACTGAGGGTGTATTCACAACAGGAAAGTCCGATAGTTCACTTGCTTTGGTCAGGACCAAATAATTTTTTTTTTTTTTTTTTTGGTACGGTTCGCTTTCACACTGCTCTTTTTGCAAGTGAACCAAAATTTGTAAACAAAACCACACGTGTGCTAAGGTCGTCCATTCATTGGACAAGGATTCTCAAGTAGGGAAATCAGGAAAAAAGGTTCAGCATGGAGATATTTCGTACTGCAATATTTATTATTTTACTAATTTTGTGTTATTCTGTACAAACGCAATATGAAGAAACTGCGCAG